GCGCCGTTGGTGCCTTAGGCCAAGGTACGGCGTCGAAGGCGGCGGTGCTCCTTTCGTACGCGCGCCCCGTATGCAGGCCCGCTTCCCTAGCCAACCTTTCTCTGGCCAAAGCATCGGCGTCCGAGTCTGGGCTCCCCGGTACAAGGAAGACGTGGATTTACTGGAGCGAGTCCAGCGAAGGGCCACAGAGATGATGAAGGGCCTGGAGCATCTCTCATGAGGAGAGGCTGCAGCAGCTGGGACTGTTTGACCGGGGCAAGAGAAGGCTCCAGGGGATCTTATCAATGTGCATAAGCATCTAAGGGAGGGAGGGTGTCAATGGGACGAGGGCAGGCTCTGCTCAGTGGTGCCCAGTGATGGGGCAAGAGGCAATGGGCATGAAGCACGAGAAATTCCACTTGAACACAAGGAAACACTTATTTTCGGTGAGGGTGGCTGAGCACTGGCACAGGTTGCCCAGAGAGGTCGTAGAGTCTTCATCCTTGGAGATACTGACAACCTGACGGGACATGGTCCTGGGCAACGTGCTCTAGGTGACCCTGTTGGAGCAGGGGGGTTGGTCCAGATGATCGCCAGAGGTCCCTGCCACCCCAAAGTGCTCCGGGACTGTGTGTTGCTGTATGGGGCTTGACCGACTGAGAGCAAACCTGATGCGCACAAAAAGCTCAGAGGTTTTTGTTTTTCAGAGCTTGTAACGCCAGATGAGCAGAGTGGGAGTTCTTTCGTAACAGAGGGAAGAGAAACACCAGTGTGCAGGCAGAGAAAATTTAACCTTCTCCACTGACAAGTGGAGAGAGTCTATGAAGAAGCAATGAAGGCAGTAATTGGAACTGATTCCAATTAATGTGCTTTGGAGAGGAACGTGGGGAAGCCTTTATTTTAACCTGAAGAAACTGTACTGCTACCCTTTTAACAAATCACAGAACAATTCTCAAAAGGAGATTTTTTTAAAAAACGCAGGGTATGATTTGTTTTTGGACTGGAAATTTATTTATTTTTTTCCCTAGGCAAATAACACAGATTTTGTTTTAAAGGGGGAAGATTTGTCACACCTGAAACAAGAAAAAAATCCTAAATAGGTCTTTTTCACCCCCATAAGCACTTTCTTTGCGTCACGCAGGAACATAACAAATACTATGGTGTTCAGTCTGGACACAAATTAAATGGCTATTTAATACTTACACTCAGTCACAGAGCTATGCTCAGCAAATTCGAATAATGCATCTGGATACAGAGGCATTATTAATCTAATACAGATAAAAGAATGAGCACTAATTTTAGCAATAACCTTATTTTTAAACATTAATTCATAATATTAAAAAGTCACATCAAAATTTAAATAGAGTCCTGGAACCAGCTTCCTTTTAAAATGATCGTGAAACGGTAATAAAAGAAAAGTTCATAAGGCGTGAAAGGTCAGCTTTTAAGCCAGCCTTAATGGAACTGAAGTAAAACCTCATCGAATCTGAAGGCAAGAGAAGAAAGTTTCTGGAATTTTTGAGGAAATAGTTGTCCCAGACATCTTAACCTTAAAATGGTTTCTGTAACAACAGCAGACTGAATAACTGTTTTCACAGACAGGTTATTGAGTAAACTATGGTTATGAAAGGGTTACTAGGAATTGAGCTTTGTCGAGAAAGGAGAACAAGATGTTATTCATGAGTTCTCAAGCTTTTTATGCTGAGCCCTCCTTTTCTGTAATATTTTGTGCTCCCACTTGCCTCTTTTATCTTGTGTCCTCCTCCCCTGTGTCCCATGCATACTCCCATCCTCTTGCTTTCTCAGGCATCTACACCCTAACCTCCATTTCCAGGATCCTTGAGGGTAGTAATTTGAAACTTATTTCCCATCTATTTATCTCTTACAATATACTTTCTCCAATGTCTGTTGAGTAGGGATGTTCAGAGGGGGAAAAGAGAGAACGAGTGCAGGGAAAGGGGGAAGAAGAGATAAAAAGACCGGATGAAATTTTCCTGAGGTTTCTCATCCTCCCACTAACCTCCATGCTCATACATGTAGATAAGTGTTTTCGGTCTCCCTCCTTCCCCCCCGACATCTCAAAAACTACTCCTCTGGCTAAACAGAATCAATCGTTCTTTGAGGAGTCTGTTTTTTTCCAAGCACTCATAAAGAAGGCGGTTGAAAAAGTAAACGACGTCAGTCAGAGAAAGATTCAGGGTTTTTTTGTTTTTTGTTTTTTTAAAGATGAACTTAAAAACAAACCCTAGAACTGAATGCTTGCAAAATATCTAGGGAACAAGTTGTCTACCTATGTAAACTCACACCCAGAAGCCAAGAAAATCTGAGACAGTTGCTAGACAACCAACTCCCAGAGACAATGTAAGGCACCAAGGTTTTCCTCAGGCCTCTCTGGGTTCCCTACGCTTTTCTAATGTGGCCATACTGTCTTTTTCCACAAGGTATTGGATCCCCGCTCCCATGAAGATGATGTGACAGCATTCATTTCATGATTTATTAGTCTCCTGGAATTTTCTCCCTGTGGTTTTTACCGCAAGAGGAAGCTATTTAGCTATTAAACATATGTTGCATTCATGTGTTATTGATGTCTAGATAACTGGAAGGAATGGCAAGTTTCACCTGCATGTTACATTCTGCCCAACAAAAAATAGCTCTTTGTATTTCAGAGACTTTTAAAAGAGAAGCATTTATCAATTTTTAAATGTTAGCTGTATAAAGAATAGTAATTACTTGTCGTCGTCAGCTCTGACCTAATCTTTAGTGGGAATAAATGCACTTTTCTTAAGTGATGGCTACTTAAAATTTGGCTATGTGCTGTCAGTCTCAGGAAGGATAGCTTAAATTGTGTTTCATCAGAATAACCTAGTAGTTTAGTGACCTTGTAATTTTAGTTTTTCAAATATATTCAAAACAATGGCAAACGCCCCAGCTGCCTTTCATATGCATAGTAAGCCTATATTGTTTATATACTGAAAATTTATAGATCTGTTTATATACTGAAAATTTGTAGATCACTTACAGTCTATTTAAACCTTTAACAGAGAAATGATGCATAAACCTCAGTATCCCTTTCAGCCCTCACAAACATGCTGCCCTCCCATTGCAGGCACACATTTTATGTGGCTCTTTTGAGCTTATTTGAAGTATAATCACCCTTTCATTTTCCAGAAAATACACTGCAGAAACAGCATTGATTCCACTAAAGCAGAACTTGTTCCAAACCTAGAAGAAACAAGTTCTTTGGCTGGGGATGCGAGAGAGCCTGAAGACCCAACTGAAAACTACTCCATGAGTGTGCAGCAGAAGAAGAAGATGGGAAAAAGTCTGTGAACGTTGGACAGAAAGTTCTGTTTTGACTGTAAGTCATTGTTGCAATTACTGTATGAAATGCAGTATTTGTGACTGTGTAATAGGGCTGATGTGAGTGTCAACATTGAAATGACCTCCCTGATTTCCAGGCTATTCCGGAATCTTTTCCTCAAGAAAGTAATCCCAATTTACGAGTACCTCACCAAGCAAATCTTTAGTCACATAAACAATATCAGCTATCATCTTTATCTGGTTTGTCCTATTTCTCTTTTTCTTACAAACCGTGAAAAGTCAGTGGACTCTTACAACACTAATGGGTGCTGGATCAGTCATGAAAATACGTGAACTAACAAAAATCTGTAATATAAAAAATTGAGTAATACTCAAGAACTTAATTTGGCATATAAGCATAAGCATGTAATAGAAAACAGTGCAAAACTACTCTTTATTTCACTCATATTCTTTTTACAGTGATTCAGCAAGGCATTACGCTAAATGAGGTTTCAGAGATGCTGAGTACCTACCAAAGGATTCATTTCCAGATCAGAAAGTGTTAATATTAGAGAAAATTAAAACGAACGGAACAGAGGATGCATTTGGTATAACTGTTTTGGGGGTTGGTGCCACTGAGTCAGCTGGCTGACTTTCATCTCAACCTGTCAGCGTTTTCACCCGTCAGCTCTCCCCCCACCCCCCCTTTGCTTTAAATTAATTATTCCGAAGCTCAGCATAATATATTGACACTAATACCCTCGGCAAGGCAGAGCTTATTCTTAATAGCATTAATACGTTCATGATGGCCGGGATAATTATTTATCATCCTTTCAATGTCGTGCCTAAAGGCGGTCTGGAGAACAACTACCCACCCCGTGCCCTGAAGAGCCCACAACATGCCTGTGTTCATTAGGGCGCGGTAACAGAGCAGCGGCAGGGAGGGCGCTGCGGCCGTTAACC